CGCACAGACTCCCCCCCCCATCCAGGATCAGGGCCCCATAGGGCCAGGTGCTGCACAGACTTCTAACGAGAGCCAATCCCTGCTCCAGCTTAGAAGGTAAGCACATAAAAGGCATGAAAGGGAAACTGAGGCACGTAGCAGCAAAATCACCAGAGGCAGCTGGGCTGGGTGTCCCGGCTCGGACATGAGCTCTCTCTGTTGCGTGTCTCTGGGACAGGCCTTCGAAGCCCTGAGCCACTCCGTCTCCCTGCTGGAGCAGGAGCTAACGAGAGCCAATCCCTGCTCCAGCTTAGAAGGTAAGCACATAAAAGGCATGAAAGGGAAACTGAGGCACGTAGCAGCAAAATCACCAGAGGCAGCTGGGCTGGGTGTCCCGGCTCGGACATGAGCTCTCTCTGTTGCGTGTCTCTGGGACAGGCCTTCGAAGCCCTGAGCCACTCCGTCTCCCTGCTGGAGCAGGAGAGCAGCCTGCAACAGCGGCAGATTCAGCAGCTGGAAGGGGAGAGAGAGAGAGAGAGAGTTGGCTCTTCCCCTCCAGGGGATTATCTCCTCTCATTCTTTGGATCATGGCGCCCCCTTGTGCTGGGCGCTGCAGAGACACCCCTCTGACTGAGATCGGGCCACAGCTGTTCCCTGCCTTCCGCCCTCTGACTGAGATCAGGGCCCTGCCCGGTCATAGAGCAAGCAACAGGCACTGCACTAAAGATTTCACCATAGAGAGAGAGAGAGAAGGAGAGAGCATCATTGTAGAAATGAGGAAACTGAGGCACGGAGTGAGGCAGTGACTCCCCCCCCAAGGTCACACAGAGAGTCAGTGGCAGAGCCAGGAGCTGACCCTGGACCCCCAGCCCAGGGCCTGAACCACCAGCCCAGCCTGCATTGTTTCCCGGATGGGGTGGGATTGTCACAGGCACCAAGGGCTGGATGCTGGACTCCTAATTTCCCCCTTTAACAATCTACCCCCTAGGACAGTTTCAATTGGTCCTGCCCAGATAGCCCCTCCCCCTCTAGCTCCTCCCCAAGTAGCTCCCCTCATTAATAGCCCCTCTAGCTCCTCCCCAAGTAGCTCCCCTCATTAATAGCCCCTCCCTGTTTAGCCCCTCCTCCAAATAGCTTCATCAAGAGTCCCGCCCTCTTCAGTAGCGCCACCCCCAAATCCACATGGTACCGTTTCCGTGGGTGTCAAGTACCCCACTTTGCCTGCCCCTGCTCTCTGCAGAGGACATGAGCCGAACGTGCGGCCTGGCCCAGGGGGAGATGTTTGAGCGGCTGGTGGACGGGAAGATCCAGGAGGTCTGGGCGGCCATGGCCAAGGAGGTAGAAGGATTGCAAGAATCCCTGCTCGAGCGCTCTGACCACCGCATGATCCAGAGGGGGGACTCGCTGGAGAACCTGTCCCTGGAGATCCTGGAGAGGTTAGAGCGGTAATTGGGGTGGGGCTCCCAGATCTGCTGCCCTCAGGGTCTTGCTAGCCCAACCCCCCCACCATCAGACTGGGGCCCTGCATAGTCACAGAGTAAGAGACAGACCCCACACTGAAGATTTTACCCTCTAGCCAGATGCAGGAAAGATCATTATTCCCATTGGGGAGATGGGGAAACTGAGGCACAAGGTAAGGGCGTGACTAGCCCAAGGTCAAACTGGGACTTAGTGGCAGGGCTGGGAATTGAACCTGGGTCCCGTGAGTTCTACTCCAGGCCAGGCATGAACCACCAGCACCTGCCCCCTTCTCCAGCAGCCCCATGCACCCATTGCCCACCCATGAATGAGACAGGAACACTGCTCGTGACATGGTAACAGCCCCCATTGGGCCAGGCCTAGCACAGACAGCTGGTGAGAAACACTCATGGCCCCAAATCTAACTAGACAAAAGGTGGGGGGAAACTGAGGCACGGAGGCAACCCGGCAACAGGGCTGGGATTAGAATCCCGGTGTCGAGCGTCCCAGTCGCTGGCGCCCACTTGCCCCACCCTGTACAGCGCTTCCAGCTGCAAACTGTGAAATCCTCCCTCACCGCCCCCGGACTCCTGTGTGCGCCTTTAAAAAGCTCCCCCCAGAACAGTCAGTGGTAGCCCCTCCCTCTTGAATAGCTCCTCCCCCCCAAGGACCCACCCCCCCACTGACTGTCTTGGGCCCAGGACATCACCCAAGGGGGAACCCAGACTACGCAGCTTCTCCGAGTCCTCATGCTGCAGATTTCTCCAGGCCTACTGGGGCGATGGTGCCAGGAGCCTTTGGTTTTCAGTCCACGTTCCTCTTCCTTTAGCAAGAAATTCCTCTGGGAGGAGCTGGAGTCAGTGCAAGGTGAGATGAGGAGGATCCATCAGAAATTGAGTAGGTACCAGCAGAATACCCCTTTCTTTGCCCCCAGCCCTCGGGTGCCCATGGGTAAAAAAATCCCCCTGGTGGGTGCAGGGCACAGTACACCCTCCAAAGCACCCTCCAGGTGTGGATCTATCTAGAGGGGAAACTGAGGCACGGAGAACTGAGAAGGGACTGGCCCAAAGTTCAAGCCATGAGCTAGTGTTTGAGCTGGGCAGAAAACCCCAGGAATCCCGACTCCCCATCCAGCCTTCCCCTCCCATCTACCTATTATACTGCACCTTCGTAGGGAATCAGATCTCTGCCTCTCAGGCCTGCTGCGTGACACGCAGGCTCACCGTCTTGTAGTCCTGCTGGGAGGCCCCATTTTCCATGGGGGAAACTGAGGCACGGACATGCCAAGTGTTCTGTGAGGGCCCCGCTGCAAGTCGAGGGGCAGGAGCAGCGCTGGGTCCCAGCAATTCCAGAGGTTGGAATTCCAGCTCTGCCAGATGTGCTTCCAGGGGCGTGGTTAGCTGTGCGGCCGGTTCGGGAAGGGTCGGGAGGGGGGACCCTGAACTGGAGGTTCTGGTTTGTCTCTTCCGCAGAGGATCAGGAGGACGATATAACTCAGAACCTGGTCAGCATAAAGAAAATGCAGGATAATCAAGTGAAATGCAGGAAGGTGAGATGTGGGGGAGGAAAAGAGGTGGGGCTACAAGATGCCCCTCCCCCTTTGCAGTCCATTCACAAGTGAGGCTCTTGGCATCATTGTCATTCTCTGTCCCCCAGGCACACACCGGCTGCCGGGGGAGAGCTCCCCTCCCGCCCCCCCACTGATCCCCACCCTACCCCCTGCATGACTGGGGTGTTGGGGTCGGCGCTGGCTGTGAGGGCCGCCCCCCATGCAGCACAGCCAGCCTCTGTGCCCGAGCGGTTTGGGCCTTTGCCCGCCTGCCTGGGGTGGAACCGCAGCTCTGCTGGAACAGAGCCCCTCTCTCCGCAGATCCTATCACAGCTGAAGGGCAAAGGGCTGGGCCCAGAGGGGGCCCCGGAGTCCGTAAGCGGAGGTAGAGACCGCCGGCCGGTCAAAGAGGAGCTGAATGAGATCTGGTAAGGCTGGCCAGCCCGGTGCCCCCTCCTGGGAGCCACCCAGCGCCTCCCTCAGCCCCTCTCCGTGCTGAGCTGTACTGGAGCCCCCTGTCCATCCTGTGCCCCCAGCCCCCGGCTCTCATTGCAGCCATTAGGGGCCAGCACTGACTGCCAGACGCGTGC